TCAGTTGCACTGGCCGTGCTGCTCGCGTGCCAGATTGTGCCATGTGTGGCCCCATTATTCCGATTATGCTGATCAGTGTCATGCGCCTTTCAAAGCAGTTGAGCCCTTCGCAGACCACCGCCGCGCGAGCGTGAGCGCGTGTGCGCGCGTGTGCGCGGATCGCGGCCGGCTTGGAGTCACGCCCCGCGCGACCAGCACGGCGAGGCGTTCGCTGAAGGCCCCCCCCTCCCCCCTTCCATCGTATCACAGCCGAGGTCTGTTCTACATTGTAAACGTCATACATGACGGTTCGCCCGTGCGGCGCGCCGATAGCGCAGGCTGGCAGCTCAAGCGCTCACTCTGCTGAGCAGTTGCATCGGCGCAAAAAGCAGGCAACCTCACCCTTCTTTTCTCTTTTGCGCTTGCAGAAAATTATATTTAAATTCAGGGTTGGCGTGGTCGCGGTGGTGGCCGGGGCCGGTAGCGCGGCGACTGCATAGTGATGGTAATCTCAAACAAGCCGTTTGAGCGGTGAGGTCCGGCAGGACCTCAGCTCCCGCCCGCCCCCCTCTGTAACGCCCTCGCAGCCCCACGCCCGCACCCCCGCCGCGCCTCCGCGCGCCCCCGCGCACTGGGTCGTGACGTCGCCCAGCAGCGCCCCGCCGCCACACGGTTTCTTTTCGACTCTCATCTGCTGGTGCCCACCATCCGGCCGCTGCCGTGGTCGTTGCCAAGACCAGACGCGCTGTTGGTTGCTGGTCCTGGCCCGGCCAGTCCGGGTGTGGTGTGTGCCAGATACTTTTCACTGGCGCTGTGTCCTGGGCGCCTAGTTATAGTTGTCATCATAAAAAACAGTGCCAAAAAAATACGTGTAATAAATTATATGTCCTTTCTTCTTCAGGTTGGCGGCGTGTGGCGGTACGTCGGAAGCAGCCATGGCGAGCGCCCTGTCGGTAGGCAACCCATCTCGCAGGACGGGCGCGGTGGCCGCTGAGGACCGGCGGCGACAGCGAGCCGGGTGGGCAGGCAACCCATCCTGCTTCACCTCCAGGCGAGGACCCCGCTGTGTGGTGAGTGTGCAGTCTGCGACTGCTTTCATCTTTCATGTAGGTTTACATTATATCGACGCCTGTTTGTTTGAACTTGGAATGGACTTTTTAGGAGCTTAATTTAAATCGCCTAAAACTAGTGTCTGTAGCGCTTTCAGCGCCCAGACGTCGGAAAATACAACGATCGAGTTCGAGATGCCACTCCTCCCCGCACCCCACCCGCGCTCTGCATTCTCCTTTGTCGCCCTCGCCGTTCTCTTTTCGCACTTCCAACCACCCTCCTCTGCTTTTGCCATCATCACCGCCCAGCTGCCAAAGCCCCACCACACCACCCCGCCACGCCACGTCCAGCCACACTCGGAGCCATAGCAGCCTGCTGCTCGGTGCCGCCGCCGCGCTCGCGATGGACGTTGGCGGTCGTAAATTTGCCAAAACTTTGAGGCAATGCGCCGGACGTGCCGGACAGAACGGGCACGACCACACGCCCCCGTGCGGGTGCGTGCGTGTGCGTGCGTGTGCGTGGGTTTGTGTTCGTGTGCGTGTGTGTGTATGTTTGTGTGTGCGGGCGAGAGAGGGGTGTCGCCTCCCGCACCACCACGACTCCTGCTTGAGATGTCCACCGAATTCACTCTGCGGCCTTATCGGAAGTTATCACGCGCGGCGCCCCCCCCCCCCCCCCCTCCCGGCTCCGCTCCGCCTCGGGCTGCTGTTATTGTATCCGGGGAATTACCAATTATCTCCGAGTTATGGCGAGCGCTTGCAGCTAGCGCCGAGGATAGAGATGGAGAGAGGGAGGGGTGGCGAGGGCGGAAGAGAGAGAGAGAGAGAGACAGAGAGAGAGGCGCGCGGGCCCTTTATTGCTGAGGTCCGGTCCGCGGAACTGTCACCGCGCGCCGCGGGCCACGCCGGGTCGTTATTTGTTTCTCCCTGAGAGTATATCACTGGGCGGGAATCGAGAGGAAAACTACAATTCTCTCTTTTTTCCAGTGAGAGGCCCATAGCGAACGGGGCAAGCGACCGGAGCGCCCCGTATAAAGAGATAAATCAGTTGTCGAATTGTTACTCTTGAGGTCCACGAATGCTACATCGATACAATCATCTTATATATTTTAGCTTTTCGAATCAAAAATTCTTCTTGACAAAACATCATTTTTGTTGTTTCTAAAACAACTTACAAAACAAATTATTGTGCGTTAAAAGTACAACTGTGAATTACAGATTGTGGATTTTTTTACTGCGTTGTCTTTGTCGAGCACCTTGTAGAGATTTAGGGGGCTCGAGGCCGGTGGCGTCTTCTCGACGGCGTGCAGCTCGATGCAGAGGGCTGATGGTCGCGCTGCTCGCGCCCCGCCACCGCGGCCCGGAAGCCCCGGAAGCTACCGGAAGCAGCACGCCGTCGGCCGGGCACACCCCGGAACCTGATGCGGACGTCGGACGTCTGGGCGCCTCTCATGTCGGAACGAAAATAAAACTGTTGCTGGAATAATTAATTGCCGAGTAAAGCACGGGGGCCCTTCGCTTCGTCTAGAAATGTCTGTCCGTCCCGTCTGCAGCAGGGGTGGGTGTTACTACTTTTTGTGGAGAAGAGAGAAAGAGAGAGGGAGGGAGTTTAACGGAGAGGGGAAAGGGAACGGAAAGGAGAGAGAGCCAGGCGCCAGTGGCCAACCGCGGGGGTGTGGTGGTGGGGCGTAGCGTGCGGTCGGTCCCCGTGAAATATGGCCGACCATCTATCTGGATGTATAAAAAGCGAGGGCGTGCGCGGAGGGCGTCGTGGAGTTCGTGCGGGGCGGGGCGGGGCGGCTTGATCGCGCTGACCGCGCCGTAAATCCTGCACCACGGCGGTGATAGGCCGCCCGCTCCTCGCGGAGTAGGATGGGTTGCCTACCCGGGGCATCGCAGGCGCCGGCCGCGTAAGGAGCCAGGTGCAAGGCAGGTGCGGCGTGGGGGTGCCCGGCCTAACGACACCTAACCTCTACACCGGCCTGCCGGCGGGTGCAAGCCAGGTTTGGCCTAACTTAACCTGACGACCTAACCTCGACCGGCCTTAGGCAGCTGACAAGCAGATGTGGCCTAACCTAATCTAGCGATCTAACCTCGACTGGCCTGCAGGCAGGTGCAAGACAGGTGCAAGACAGGTGTGAGGCCTGGCCTAACACGACCTTAACTCTACACCGGCCTGCTGGCAGGTTCAAGGGAGGTGTGGCACCCGGCCTAACGACCTAACGTCTACACCGGCCTGCAGGCAGGTGCAAATGCAGGTGTGGTGCCCGGTCTGGCCTGACGACCCGGCCTGCGGGCAGGTGTAAGGTAGCTGTGAATGCAGGTGTGGCGCCCGACCTAACGACTCGACCCCGGCTTACTTTGCCGCCGCCTCGCCACACCGCGGCCTGCGACCTGCCGCCTAATGCCTTTCTAAGAGGCCGTGCAAATGAACAGCGCGGCACGGACCGGCGTGGCGTTGTCTGATGTCTCAAGCTAAGCGCTCGCGGTGTTGGTTTAGGGGCTGGCCGCGGCTGCTGCTGCTCGGGCTCGGCACGCAATCTGAGTCACTCGACTCAATGCTCGCTTTAGAAGAAGTCGGAACAGCGTCGCGCAGTGCCGTGCCGCTCTGCTGGGGAGGTGTCCGAGCCGAGCGTGGCCGTAACTGGGGTCGCGGGGACCGCCACTTACGTGGGTTCTGTCCAAATACACCCTCACTACTCAACATTATGAGAGAGAAAAACGCTTTCATCTCATGTTGCTGCTCGCTCGGCCCTGTTGCCGTGCGTCTTGTTTTTCTTTTCCCTGTCGTCTCTTTTATGGAGTCTTAAAATCGTAACCCCGGGCGGGTCGTGCGAGCTGCTGAGGACACCTCGTCCCTTTATTGCTGGACCCTGCAGGTATGCAAGCCTCTCGCCTAATTTTGCGACAGTGCGAGCGAGAACGGTAGAAAGCAGTCTCTCTCTCTCTCTCGTCTCCATCTCTCATATGCCTGCGAAACAAACATACCCGCGTCGCACATGCCGGAGGCAAGACGTGAAATGAAGACATATCTTTTCTCGTAAAACACAGCCGAGCCAACCCCGTCGCAGCACGGCGGGTGCGGTCTCGTCGCGGCGCGGGCCTCGCGCGGCGCTCTGTGCGGTTATGTACAATACGTGTTCTGCTGCGCGCTCAAATTTTAGTCGCAAAAGAACACATTGTCGTGAAATAATAATATAACCCCCCCCCAAAAAAAAACAAAAAAAAACGGAAGGAACTTTTGTCCTTTGTGGCACAGTGGCATGAAAGAAAACAACAACATACCAAAATTTTGCTCGACGGGTCGTAGCAAAATTGTTTGCGTTTTAATGCCCTTGCAACGATATAGGCTTCAAGTCAGAATGTCCATCACCCGCCCTAGAAAAGGTGTTTGTTGACGCTTCCTCCCGTATTATGTGTTTCCCTTCCAAGTGCCCCGGTGCGTATGACACGATCATCTGATAGCCTATTTGTTTTAAAGACGCCCGCTAGATTCGCCACGCTTTGAGCCCCTTTGTCGTGCCCCGCCGCACTGAATCATTTCTCCGCGCTGAGATTGCAACGTGTCCGCCCCCTCCC